ACACACACACACACACACACACACACACAATGCGAACGTACCCATATGTTAGAGATACAGGAAATGAAAGACGGAGACTGTGAGAGAGAGAGACAGAGTGCGAACACGAAGAAAATTGGTTTTCGATTTAAAACAATGCATTATTAACAGAAATGAATTTCCACAATTTGTTATTAGATTAAGCTGATTGCGACAGCGTGTCTAATTGAAATGATTGAGTGTCAGATAATGACTTGATTGTTTGATAATGAAGTACAAATTATTATTTGGTGCCACTTGTTCAACCGCACAACAATAGACTCGCAGCGAAAGGTGGAAATATGAAACCAACAGATCGAATGTTTAACGAAATTTTAAAAAAAATGTTTCTGGATTTGTTCAAAATTATTGTCAAAAATTCGTTCAGCTCAAATTGAGTTTGAATAATTTTAGCAGGACATGTTTTGGGAAATAATTTCTGTGACATTTCGAACACATTTTGAAGAAACTTTCGAAAAACTATAACTAACTCCATACGGATCAATTGGAGTTGTTTGAACTTGTTTTACACGAAAATTCGGAGAACTCTTCCAGCTCTTGGCTAATGCTTAATCTGAGAGTAAAAGTGGTTGAAGGTAAATAATCAGGCATTTTATGGTAGCGCTTTTATTCGATTGCGGGATCGAAAAATGACAAAAAAAAGATAAAGACTCAATGGGGACGCCTTTTCCAATTCAATGGCATTCTCATTGAATGGGAGTTTAAATTAAGTGAAATTTACATTGATTGCTTCACATCGACCAAAAAAACAAGCGCTTTGAAAGGGAAACTGTGAAACACTCGAAAAAGTTGTAAAAATTCATGGATGGATTGGTGGCGATGTTTGTTTTCATTGTTTGGTGAGGCAATGCATTGGCCGCGTTCAGTTGACCTCTGGTATTAATTGCGTAATTCGAATTTATGCGGGTTATCTGTTCACCATTCATCGGATTAACAGTTTATTATTTGGTTCGATACAACCTTTTTACCCTTAACAGTAATTACAAAATGTTTTCGATTTTCAGTTTCACTATAAAACAAATGATGTTGACACACGTTTTTTTGTGTGCGCTTTAATGTCTGTTAATTTGTGTATACATATTCAAAAAAGTAACAAAACGATGTGAATTACAAAGGAATTAAGTTATTTCCTTTTTTTAGCAAATTTTTTTGTTTTTATGTAAAATCGTAATTGTAGACAAGTACTTGAAATTGATAATCCCTTGATGGCAATCTCGAATTTTTGTGGATTGTTGATGGATTTTTTCACTTTTTTCTCAAAAAAAATCTACTGATGGGAAAATGTTCACTTCAACAATGGATGGAGATCACAAAAAAATTTCAAAATCTATTTCAATTAATGCCATAAATCAATTCGGCTCAATAATTAATTGGCTAAAGGGTAGTTCTATCAATATTAAATTGTGTTTGTTTTTGAGTTTGAATTTTCACTGCAAATAATACACTGATTTTCGCTTTCTTTTTATTTGGCTAAATATTCCACTTTTTCAAGTTCAATCCGATTGCGATTCGGTAAAATTGTGCAAATTAATTATTTAAATTGGTATGCAAATGTATCTCTTAATGGAACGATCGATATTATTTTTGTCGTATGATTTTTTTCGCATTGCAATGCAATTGAATCCATCAATGAAGCACAATGCATGAACTTTATACACGGCGGCTACTACAGAATTCAATGTTTGGCTCTTGCACACCGTGAACACCACGATTATCAGTAACGTTCAACGTAAAATTTATAAAACCATTTCAGAGTCCACATGACACAAACATCGCCACATTGCACGATACACACGCTACCTTAGCAAATAACGTACTGAAGGTTCGAGTAGCGTAACGTTGAGTTAAATATGATATGAATATACGCATTCAGTTGGATGGCGTGTTTTGCTTCGTGCTGTATGCGCGCGATACATTCAATTTCAAACTCGACTTTTCGGCAATCTCGTTGCAGTGCACACACAGCACAGCTTAGCACACACGGACTAGCATTCTGTCGGGAGTCTGCATGTTATACAGTACAGTACAATACAATGTACAATCAATTCGGGATAACGGAAAATTTTTCACGATTGCCTTCAAACGCCTCGACCTAATATATATTTGTTTTATGCATTTCGAAGCGCACTTCATTTGATTCATCCTGTGGACAATTGACAAAAACACCAAATTGATTTTACGCTATATTTAACTCCACTCTCGTTCAAACTTTATTTTCAAGCCATGATTGTGTTTTAATCTGAAAACACAAAATATGTTTCAACTAAAATGTTACTTTAATAACAGATCTGTTATAGATTTTTTCAAATATCATTTAATAAATAATTTTTCGTTGGCAAATCGATTAAATTTTTTTACAATTATTCTGGCATATGCCTAGAAAAGAAGGTAAATTTTTCTTTTCTAAATATATTTTAAGTTTTCAAATGAAAATGTGAAAAACAAATCGTCAATCTTTGTGCCTTGAACTTTGAATTCATTTCAAGAATTTACATTTCAAAAATCGGGTTATAGACTTCCAACAAAAATTTAATATTTTTATTTAATTTCACTTTTAAATGCGCTTTTATCATTTTCATTGTTTTTTTTATACCGAATGTCTTCTCACGATCAAATCATTTTACTTGGAAAATTTCCGTTGTATAAAAGACTGTTTTTGTCATCGTACATTCAGTTAGGTCGGGTTTCCTGTCTACTTCATTGGTGTCGTTAAAATTATTTCGAGTGGAGCATTTTTATTTAACAAAGCGGAACGTTGATAACAAATATGATTTGCACGCCTTCTCCAATCCCAAAGAACTTCTCCGCAATTGTAACTGACTATCTGTATTGTCCCAATTCACAATGAGATTGGAGTTGCGCAGTTCCAAGTTTGTGACAATTTTGTGAATCTGATTTCTGATTTGGTGAAATGAAAAATAGGGGAAATCGTATCATATCTCATCAACTCTGGTTGAATAAACTTCTCATCAAGAGGAAAACAATCCGTTCACCTATCTAAACAAAAACATTCGTATGCATGTTAGACTTTATTGCTTTTGGTTGCGAAGAAGTCACAAATCTATTGTACGGTTCCACTGAAGTTTCTCTAAACTATTCATGTTGAAGTTACAAGAGTGAATGTTTTTCACCCATATTTCGATTAATTTTAAATGCAAGCTATTTTTTCAATTAAAAATTGAAGCACAATAAAAAGGATGGCATTTTTACCAATTTCGCATAAAATTCGAAGAAAAAATATCTCCGAAAAAAAAATATCGAGAAATTTCTAGTGAATCACATGTCGCCCAAAAAAAAGGAATCCCCGGTATTGTGGTGACAAGCGAAGGCAATTCTAATTTGCATCACCCAATAAAAACGAAAAAAAGAAATCCACACGAAATGAAAACAGTATCACATTCACTTTCACCAAAATTTATCCAAACAAACTTATCGAATTGACTGTAACGATCAGTCTTCATGGATGTTCTACCGTGTTTTGTCGCTTCGAACTGCGGCTACTGTTGATAAACGTCGTTCAACGAATTATCCCATTTCAGAAAACAAATCAAGGGAGAGAAATAGCACGAGTGTAAACTGTCAGCACGAGGTAGAAGCATGGACGAACCAAATGAGAGAAAAAAACCGAACCGAACTGAACGGGAACAGTGTAATAGAAAGAGTGTTTGTGGTATGAACATGAATAACATAGTCACTAGCTTAGAAAGCCAGCTGAATCGGTTAATTTAATGCCAACGAGAGTCGGGAATTCTTTTTCCAAGTAGAATGTTTTTCGGTGACCTCGTCGCAAAGCGGATTGATAAAACAGTGAATTTAATTTTACATTCTGACTCATTTCCATTTTCTCGTCTCGCCTTTTTCTCGCTGTAACACGACATGCTACATCACAAACACAAGCACATATGTGCTGTGTGACGTACGTTTAGCCGCATAATTGTTTGTGTAGTTTGGTTGCGAAGTCAATGCTAGCGAATGTTGATCATGTACTATTTACAAATAAACCGCCTCCTTCTTTCACATGCTGGCAGCGTTTAATTTCAATTTTCATATTATTCCATTATTCTTTCTTCCAGCAACAACAACGACCACAGCAATAAGAAGACGAAGAAGACAGTTTGCGGACAAGCACCGTCTCGAATCGAAATCGTATTGTTTTCGGCTATGCTTCGATTGAGTAAATATTTAACCGGGAACGACAAATAATTAGCATATCTGGAGTATGAGTGTGCTCTTGCTTAACAATCGCACCACTTTAGGGAGTATCTATTCTGGTCATCGATTCGTTGTGAAAATTCATAGCGTCACCAAAAACATCAACGAAGATTCTCATTTAGCCAGAATGACAAGTAGGCACACACAGATAATTTACATGCAAAACTGTTTCGATTTACGTTGCGGCTTCTATTCTTTGGGGGGATACAAGCAATCTTCAGACGACCGAATCAGCAAAATTTCCATAACACTCACATAGACGGTTTCGAGAAGATGATGAAATGTGTTTGAATATTTCTTTGTCGTTTGTTTACATGGTTTCAAGTGGCCATTTAGGGCGATAGTTCAACGAATGCAAAGATCTGCCGAGAAGTAAAAAGTGATCAATAGTTCCATTGATTTTGAATTTAAATTTTTCCTTCATTAAAATTCAATAACAATCTCTTGAATTGTACCATCAAGCCGGTGCAATCAAAGGCTCAACTCAAGGTCTGCATACTGTTCAATCGCTATCTTCTTCGACGGCATCCAAGGAGCGTCATTTACCCGAAATTCCGACGCATTCAATGTCAACGTAACGGCTCTGTTTATGGCACACAAGACGCTCGAAATACAAACACGTATATACATTTTATTACAGCGTCTGGTGATGATGATTGTGCATGAAAATAGCAAGTCACACTTGCACTTGTGTGCTTGACCATCAACGATGATACCAAAAATGGCTTTTCCGAAAATGTATTTAAGGTTATATTTTATTGGTCGTTAGCCAACCACTTTACACATATTTGTATCGTTTCGCCACTACAATTCTGTATCTGTTCGATGCTTTTTGCACACAAGCACACACAAATCGAGAGAACGAGAAAGAGAAAGAGACATACACTTTGCGCACATATGGAAACATATGGTACGAACAATAGTTTGCTTAAGATTTAACACATCAGTCTAAAGTATAAAATCATGCTTCGGCTATCATTCAACCAAAACCAGTATGAATTTCCATCGAAGCCAACGAACAAAAAATTTGGATGGTCATGCCGAAAAAATTTTGCCAGAAAAATCTCTTTGGTGTATAGTTTTTCAAGCTGTTTCACACTTTGTCCGACGTACAAAAACCAAAGCACTGGATAGCAGATTTTTTCGACTTTTATGTTCATTTTGTCACAATCGTTACATCAAACTGTAAGGAGGATGACGATGGCGGCGGCGATAACAACAGCAGCAACAACAACTGAAAAAATGCACACACACACACACACACACACACACACACACGACAAAAGATGTAATAAAATGAAACAAAACCATGACGAAACCACGTCCAATAAACCACATGTGTTGACAACAACTTTATTAATCTAATCTCCACTCATTTATTCCCCACGGCAATATCACTTGTACGAACATTTGTAATAGATTATTGTTGATCCCGTTAATATCAATGTCGGATGGCTTACACATCTTGTAACCACACAACTTGTTGTTCTATTTTTATGAATTCCATTTTCAGATCAAAAATAAAGACCTATCGAGCATCAATACCATTAAATACATTGCACAAGACATTGATTATGTGGAATTCGGTAGAGGATGCCGAAGCTTTCGTCGAAACAATGGAACAACAAATTTCTATTTCAGCTTTGTTGATACGAGGAAACAAATGTGGAGTAATGGAAATTCTTTGTTTGAACAATGAACGAGATTCTTTGTTCATGTTAATTTTTATTTCGAATATTATTTCGGGAATAGAGTTTACCTATGGATATCGGTATTGATGTTACTGGGGTAGTATTTTAAAACACTTTTCTCTACTGAACATTTTAAAGCTTAAGATGGAAACGTAAAACGGAATTGGATGTAACCTAACCGGTAGTAAATGATTGGAAATGCATTATTACAATAAAAGCTAAAAATCAAAGGTCTGCAAACATTTATTTCATAAAATAATTCTTCATACCGTAAAATCTTCCCTGAACGCAGCAAATGTAATGACAAAAAGCCATACTGTCTGTTGCATGCAACAAGAGAATTCGATTCAATCATGTTAAACTTCTATTGAATAAGTTGAGACAAGCATACCAAATGCGTTCTATTCAAGTAATTCAAATATCTAAAATTACTTAAATGTAATTCAGTGTTGAAATCAATCTGGCATATTTTCCCATAACTCATGGATCGAAGAATCTGAGAATATTCCCACTGATCGTACTCAATGATTCGTGTCACGTACGTGAAAATACAAATCCCAAAATGTCGAATCAATTCAGACGATTTAAACTCATTCTGTTCATTAGCTAACGGGCTTTCTGAAATATGTATGCCATATTACAAAGTTTCGCAACTATTTTCGCGTTTCATAATGAAGCAAACTTATATGAGTTTTCACTTTGTGTTTGCGATTTGATTTTGATAACGGATTTACATCGATGTAATCGCCGGGAAATTAAAACATATCCAAATAAATTTAGCAAGTTTTTACGCAGAACGTATTCGAACGCAAGAAATCACTGAATCAAATATGTGTTTAAAGGTGATGGTTTATTGGATGATTATCGGTTCATGGCAGTTGCTCTAGCGGTCCAAG